TATTAATTCAAAACACAATATAGTACCTTATTGTTGTTTTCACTTGAAGAATCCTCTTGAACCTTTATACGCCTTCGTTTCTTTTTCTGTTTGTAACTGCGTTGGTTTTCTTCCGCCTCAGCTTTCTTGGCAGATCTATTAAAAAAAAAAAAAAAAGGCAGTATTACTGATTAACACTAATTCTTCATTGTCTCACTGAAAAACAATGATAAAAAAGTACATAAACTACATTAATAGAATATATTAATCAGGGGTTTACTTCCAAATTCCTTCCTCCCCCTCAACTCACTGGACACACACAGCAACAGTCTATTCCAGACAACCCTGAAGAATCTCAGAATTGTTAAGTATTAGTTTTCTACTGCAATCCGCCATTCCTTAACTGACATATTTGGCGTAAAAATGCTCATTTTTTTCTGGCTCATCAAATTGCTGTGTACCACATACTTTGGTACAAATTCAAAATTCTCACATTTGCTGCAAAGTTAATTAGCAGATACCTAATTATAGACAAATATCATCAAAGGTTTTAAGGACTTATCCAAAGTCTTTAACTTTCACCATCTCACTGCCTAAACTGCACTATTAAATACCAAAAACCAACACAGGATAAGCATAGTTAAGTTTTATTTATACCTTGTTCTTGGACGTTGGTCATCTTCAGACTCACTCACTTCTTCACTAACTGCAGATTCATGAAACTCAGAGTCATTTGAATCATCGCTGCTCACTTTAAAAATAAAGTATGATTTCATGTTGAATATTATTGCAAAGTTAGCAACATTACATATCTTCTAATTATACAACAAACTGTTTGCACTGTAACAGTTCATTTCAGACAGTACGGGATCCATTAAACACACTAATAAGAAGCAACAGGAATATAAGGGGTACAGAATAGAAAAGCTTAACATGTAAGCACTAGCTGAGTCCTGATAGATGGCATATTACGCCACCAAGACTTGAGGTCTTTATGCATGAATAAATCTAAGTATAGTTTACAAGCAAATGACAGAAAATGTTATATTAGAAAGCATCACATTTCAAAGACAGCGGGTGAGGGGAGAACACAATAGGGAAGAGTACAGAACTTCAGAAAACAAAAGATGATTTTTCATTAAACAGAAGCTTTTGTTTCAAATGTTTTAGATGTAATTTTATCATCAACTTCACAATTCATGCAAACAACCCTTATTTACTAACAACATACGTAATTATATTACTGTATTTATGGCTTGAAGTTTCTTCAGATAATGCAAATTTAAAACTTACTCAAAAGACAATTAAAAATGCACCTGAACTAGCAGCATTAGGTAGTACTTCCGTAACTACTTTTAGGAGCTATCACTGGCATTTACAGGTTATTAAGACCAGCATGCCATTTAGCACCTTTATAATTTAAGTTTGACCTTGAACACAGTGGAAACCTTAACTGTTTCATGCTTAAAACAGGGATTGTTTTACAGACATTGGGAAATGCAGTACTAACAGGGCTAAAAAGCAGTGAGCTGAAATAAAGTATATTGTTCTACTTGAGACTAGTGAACTTAAAAGACTTACACTAAAGAATCCTTAGAATTAATCTGGCTTATCTTATCTGCATCTTATCTGCACATTGCCACTGTAATTTACAATTACTTTTCTTGAAAGAAGTGGTGTTGGTAGCTATAATTCCATAAGGGAGGAAATGCATGAATATACACTCAGATAAAAATGAGTTTTCATGAAGGAAATCGATAAACAAATCGCATTGCACCTTTTAGTCTGTGGAACACCACAAAAGATGGCTAGCATTAGTGCAACACTAAGAACAGGAAAGTACTGTGCACCCTTACTTCCACTGGCCATGAAACACTACCAACACCTACACTGACCAACATGGCAGTAAGCATTTATCTTTACTACCGCTCCCCTCCTCTGCTCAAAATGATTAAATGCAAGGGGCTGACAGATTCTTTGTTCTTGCATCATTTCACAGTGCCATCTAGTGTTCAACTAGAACTTGCAACATTTAAATACCAGGATGGAGAAATTTGTGATGCACAGTCCAAGTTAAAGAGAGTAATTACATAAAGGACAAGATTGATTTTCACAAATTAGACATACTGGGCTTGCCTCTGTTATTTAAGATTAATATTCTAAGACTCAACAAGATAAATCCAATTCAGACAATACAGTAAGTGGAGAAAGCTGCATTTGTATTCAACATTTTAAATAAAACTATTTATCAAACACAGACAAGAGAATTCTAGATTTAATACATAAGGAAGTTGATACAGACATTTTAAAATTACGGAGTTTCAGATCTCCATTGTGACATGCTTTGGACTTGTTTTATAGAAGCAAGTACTTTTTGTGACAAAACACGTCTGGATTATGTACCTTTCCTTCTACTTCTGCGTTTCCCTTCTTTTTTGTCTTTTGGTTTCACCTTTTTTTCTTCACCAGATTCTCCGTCACTCACTGTCAGCTTGTGCCTCAGCAGTCTGTGTCTGTATCTAGGCTTCTTTGATTCTTCTTCCTCTGAATCCGATTCAGAATTATCTTCCTTTTCATTCTCTTCTGTCAGAGATAAGAGTGAGTACAACATACACACTGGTAATTTTTTTCTTACTTAAATTTGGCAAGAATTAAAATCTGAATTAATTTAGGCTGAATTCTGTGCTTTTCCAGGAAGTTACAGGCAACAATATACCATCGCTGCCCCAAATTTTAAGTATTTTATGCTGTCTGAACACTTGGAATGTCTGTTCCAATGACTGTGTGTGTTAGTCAAATCTCTCCCGTGCATTTGCACGTCTTACTGTTCTGTATAGATTATTCCTCACAAATCCCTAGGACTTCAAAAAAAATACACTTACAGAAGAGTAAGAGAGATGATAATCCTCATGATCATGTACAATGGCCTCTATTTGGCAACTACCTATCAACATCAATGACTTTTTTTTGTTGAAAACTGAAGAAACTTTAATAATTGTAATTTTCCCAAGTGACCTTTAAAATTATGACAAGCGCTACAGCACCACTTTTTCCCAGATGCTTTCGGGTGCTCACCATCATCTCCTGTGTTTTCATTTTGCTTTCCAGTTTTCTTTTTTCCTTCATCCGATTCATCATCTGAAGATGCATCCTCATCAGAGGAAAGATTGGCTTTGATTTCTTCTAAAAGCATTTTCTTGGCAATTCTTTGAAGTAAAACAGAAAAAACTATTTATTCCATTGTTCAAGTAAATCTATGAACGATAAGTGTAATCCTATACCATTCAGAACTTCAAAAAAAGGGTCGAAAGCTGAACAAAAAAAAGACACATGATGAAAAGTCATTGTGGTAAGACAGGATATATCAGCAAAAATCTCATGTGATGTGTTAACTTGCTTTTAGAAAGCAAATCTGTATAAAACTTCTTAAAAAAGAAGTTTCATGCTTTACAGCAAGACTGGAGACAGCTATAAAATGTACAAACTTAAACATTTCATTTTATTCATGGTCTATTTGGATCAACTGTTGCCAGTTCTGGGATAGGCACCTATAATGAATTCTAACTGTAACAAGAATGTGAAGATGCTGCAGACCAAATCCTAATATTCAAATCATTCCCCCCAAAAATGGTTATCATGCTTACTTGATTTAAATCAATAACATTAATTTCCTGAGGCACGGAATCTGCTTGATTAGTGTGTATGTAAACAGTAATAGTTTTAAAAACTATTCAGTGTATCACTGAATATGTCTTTTAAACAAGGAGAAAAAGTTTATTGTAGTATGCAACTCAGATTTACAAAAAAAAAAAAAAAAAAAAAAGAATTTATTACCCATTACCCTACCTCTACATAGCTTGCCTTCAGCTGTGTTACCATTCTAATGGCCTGGGCCCACCCTACTGCAAGAGGTCTGTAGTAATTGAAGCAACTCATGATGTCTCAAGATGAACTGATATTAAGTGCCTTGGGAAAAAAATCCACACTGAATCCCTCATACAACTACAAGCACTTGCCTTATAGCAACTATAGCAAGAAAGCCATACACACAGAAAAGTTTTATCAAACATTACAGGACCTGAACTTCCAAAGAAAAATTACGATCTTCTTTCCTGTTCCACAAACTGTTTGCTCAGCTTCTCACAGTTTCATTTCAGCACAAGAATGTTTTCAGCTAACATACAAGAAGTTACTATGATTTCTTTACAATGCTCTTGCAACATTAAAAAAAAAAAAAATCTTACATGAATCTATCCAAGGCAAAATATAAAATATGTCAAAAGCACAGGAAAATAGTGGACTTATCTGAGAACTCGTACTTCCAGGGGGAAAAAAAACCTGAAAGAATGAAACCAGGCCTTCCTCATACAAATATCAGAAATATTATAGCTTTCATTCCATGGTCGTCAATTTTAAATGAAGATTTTCTTTTTCTAGGTTAAATCTGGTTCTGCCTTGCCTTTCAGGAGAATTAATGTATACTGTATGTACATAGTTCAGAATGGGAAAGCTTTTATACCAGTCAAAATAGTTCAGAAACCATGAAACCAAACCACAATCTAGGCTTCACTTGGAAATGGCAAAGGAACAGTGATCTCTTAAGTACAGCTTCTTACACATTAGAAGAATTAAGTTGTTACTTTTATGTAGCACTATAAAGTAGGTTTTAAAGAATGTGTATTTCATTTTTCAGCATGTAACGTGTCCCTAAAACAAAGGAACTTTTCAAAGGGAATTTTCCCAATGTATCTTTCCTAACGCTTCATACAGTGTTTTCTATTTTTTGAGTGGTAGTATATTTTCCAAAAAGATTCTAATGCTAATGTATATTCAGTTATTATTAAAAGATGGAAGTAAAATCGTTTAAACATTTAAGATTGCTCAATGAGCCACAGACTATCCATCAGCATCCAAAACACACCCCCTCTTTTGAGAAATGGATTGCGAAGAAATAGCTGATTAAAACTTTAAAATGCAGTAATCTTGGTAAGCTTTAATTCCATATACATCAACAGATCACAGTGTGAACCCAATGAAAACTTACTAAAGTCCATAGGTAAGTAACATCCTCTTCCAAATGTTTTTTGCATTAGGTCCTTCCAGAGGATTTGGAAAAGGGACTTAGTTTTTATTTTTTGTTGTTGTTGTTTGTTTGTTTGTTGTTAGTTTTTTTTTAAAACCCACCACATCATGTATAATAGCAACAGGGAAAAAAAGCTCCTTATATAAGAAATTAAGACTATATTTCTTCCATCTCTTAATGGTCTGAAGAACTTTTTCTTCAAAATGAAACTGCTTGGAATATCACAGGTTGGCTTCTCTTTAAAAGCTTTCAACATAAATTATTAACCTTGAATCCTACTCCAGGAAACGCAGACAGCAGCAGTTTGGCTACTCTTCTTGTTTAAAATAATAACAATATCATCAACAAAGTTTGCTTTGGAAGAGAGAAAAAAAGTAGAAACACTAAAAAGAACTGCAAAATTTTAAAATTCAATCCTGAAAGTACTGCCTAGTAATACTGCCTTTGACTTATTTCAGATTGTCCTCAATTGCATTAGCAAAGTTAACACAACTTGTATGTGGATAACAATACTTACCTTTCATACAAGTCACCTTTAAGAATTTATTTATACATTTTTAAACAAAGGTTGACTTTAGTTCTTAACAAAAGACGACACACATTTTTATTTGTTCTTTTATGAAATTATTTTTTAAAGAAAAAAAAAAAAGGCAAATGTATCATTCTCCTAAAAATACCATGCACAGAATCTACTCTCCATAAACACAAGATGCTGTTATTTTCCTACAATCATCATCATAACCCCCAACCAGATTGGGTAAACTTACTAGTTTCTAATTATTTCTTTATAATAATATTGATTAATAAATTATTGCTTTTACATTCTGAGATAAAACATTAGACATATTTTTCAGCTAGGATAAAGATTCAACCACTTTGAATCAAACTGAGATGGAACTGTTTGTTTAGTGAAAAAAGCTACATTCCCTTCAACGCGTTCTACTGGTGTTAGGCTAAAAATGTAAGGCATTGTTGAGACGTTCAGAATTTAAAAGATACCTATTTTTAATGTAACTACATATCTGATAGGAATTAAAAGTGTAACCAATACTAGAACCAAACAGATAGATTAAGCCTTGTAAATGCATCTGACAAATGACTAATGTAACAAATGGCTTATATCAGTACTGGACTCTTGAAACTGGTCTTAAATTAAATTATACGTGGCTCAGGATAATATATCACATTTCTATTTTAAGATATAAACCCATTTAAAGTGACCAGGTTTCTAAGCTAAGAAAGTTCGCTAGCTTTAACATTTTAATAGTTGCATTAACATCAAACTGCAAGTACCAAGAAAAACAACCTATGACAGTGTGAAAACTCCCCCGCTCACATTCTTCCAGAGAAACCCATGAAAATCAAGATACCGCAATATTTACTCGGGTCAAGGACATAAAAGATATTCTTGGCCAACCAGATGTTAACAGTTGAACACTATAAACAAATTTAATTAAGAAGCACAGAGAGTTGTACGATCTCCAGCACAGGACTTCAGGTAGTTAAAAAGAAAAAAAAATATCCCTGCATTTCATTCATTTCTGCCACTGATCTGCTGTGACCGTCAGCATGTCATGTTGCCTAGCCCTGCTCCACCTTATCTAAACATATAATGAGATTTGTATAAAGGACATTTTCCCAACATGTATTTATACAGTGCCTTACAGAATGGGGCTGGAATCTCAACCAGGACATATAAAAACAACTCTAGACTAAAGTAACAGTACATACTTTTATATAAATCAGGATTTAAATATATTTCACCTTTGTAAGAATGACACTGACAATATACGTTTCTAAATAATGAATTGGTTACGATGTATTTTTTAACTTATGCTAGAAGAAAACATTTTTTAAAAGATATAGGCAAACTGGAAGTTATACAGGGGTTGCTTAGTCACAGAATAGGACTACTTTATCCTTCAAACATTTCAGCAAAAATGGAATAGTAGGTGCAGCCTCTCATGATGTAGAATTAAGTCCACATGGTAATTTGCACCATTCTTGTTCATGAATTTTAGAGTGCCAATACGATGGACTCATTTATAGATTGTCAAAAATCTTGGTGAAACAATGCTACCAGTGTAAAAATAATTTTTTACTCTTAAAAAGTCATAATTTTAAATATTAGTTAATTATCGTGACATATTATTACCAATTAGATTATATCAACTCACACGTAGTGTTCATAAATACCTACTAATTATACGTAGAAATAAGGTTGCCTAAAACAAGCCAGGGGGGACGGGACGGACATTTTTATGTGGCTAATAAAAGCCATCATTCTTTCAGTTAGAGCCCTACTGAATTAAATGGGCCTTTGGTATATTACTAAAAAATTTAGAACTATTTAAAATGTATTTTAAGAGATGAATATTTGGATGAAATGTCATACATGTTTAAAAAAAAAAAAAATTAGTGAAAACTGCCAAACACCTTGTTCTAAATACTGTACTGTCTTTGTTGAAACAGTCCGATTTTCAAGCTGTCACAGTTGTATTAAATTAAATGCTTGGACAAGAAAAACGTTTTACAAAAATTTATTGCAACCATCAAATACTTAAAGGCATTCTGCATTAAATACACTATTAATTTCTTAATAAACAAAACTACTGCAAACATATTAAACAGTACCATTTAAAAGATCAGAAGGACCAATAATAGATAATTACACAACAAAAGATGAAAGCATACAGCACTGTATGTCATATTATGACCCACTTGGATATTGCATTTTGGCAAAGATGATTTCAAGACTATTAATATTCATGTCATGCACATCCAGAGGTATGCAAATAACAGAACATCTAAACTAGAGACTTGCGAACATGAGAGTTCCCACACTACAAATACCCAGTAGGTACTACGTACCCTCTTCGGCCTGGAAGAAAATAGGCAACTTATCTGAATAGTAGGTAAACTATTTAAACACTTAGTGTTGAGTAAACAGAAGAACAAGCTTTTAACTTCTTGAAATTTGTTCCATCTTTTTACATTTTATATATCTGATTTTGGTGCCAAGTACAACGCGTGATGAATGTAAAATTAGACTGCAGTTAGCAGTTAACATGTCTGAAGTTTGACAAAACTGTTTATTGACAAAATACCTCCCAATCTCATAAATATATATTCAAAATATTCCCTAAATAAAAACTTCAACAAAGATTCAACTTAAAAACAAAGTACAGAAACTGATTTTTAAACCCCAAATTCATATTACTGATTTGTTTGTTATCAATTGTGTTAACTCATTTCCCAATATAGCTCTTAAACTAATAATTAAGATCTGTCAGTAACATTTGTACGGTAAACACTGAACTTTGACAAAGTGTATTGGCTTAGTTATCAACCAGAAACACTTAAGAAACAAACAAAAAAGAAAAAAGAAGGGGGGGGGTCAAAACAGGTCTGAAATTAAAGCATCATTTTAAAAAATCTCATATTACCAATGTTTACATGTTCTGCTTATGATCCTGTGCTGTCAAGTCCCTAAAGAGCATCTTTCTTTAAAAGCTGACTTATTTGATTAAATTTGATGACTGAAAACAAGCAAGAACTACATCAGCAGCAACATTTTGATGCCAAACTGAGGTCCGTAAAGGATATAAAACAGTGTTCTTAAAATTTACTTCAGCCACAGATCAAAACATACAACTCCGTGAAACAAAGATACCATATTCTAAACTAGTAAGGCTCAGAAGCAGAAAAAGACTCCATCAGCAACTGTGCAAAGCTATGAAGCTGGTCCCATACATGCTATATGGCAAAAAAAAAAAATCAGTTTCTGAAATACTGTAGAAAAATTTGTTGAAAAGCTCTTTAGTCTAACTACAGTAACTTCCAAAAAGAAACAGTGGCTCGTAATGGAGCAATACTTCATGTTGTGCATTCACTCATTAGGAAATGAAACTTTTGCATTTTCTAGCCAGGCTAATTCTAATAACTACAATGGTACTGGTAAAATATGACATGTCTTAATTAACTATATCTTACATATATTCATTTTTATTGAACTTGAAACTGATGCAATACATATAAGCCACAATTCTGAAAATATCTATGCAAAGACTTGAAGAGTTTATATGTGTAATTAATCTCTTTGATACCAGTTGAGCCTATGCACAGTGCTTGTAGAATCAGGGCCTTATCTATCACATTAGTCGCTTCAGGTATTCTTTAGTGGATTAAAATTCAGTTTAATTAACAGCTGAAAATATCTAATACTGTTTTCTCCACATTTGTTTTTTCTCTTTATTGAGAAAAGGTGTTTCAATTAAAAAAGCAAATTATGTAACAGTAAAATATTTTAGCACTGCATATTGCACAGATGCAAATTTTTACCTTCTATTCATGTAACTAGCTGAAATTCACATTTATCAGAAGTAGGTTTTTACCTGCCTGAATGAAATACTTGTCACAAACCTCACACTTTCAATGGGAACATAAAATGGACAGTGCTGCAGTGCATTTATAACACACCCTATGCAAGGTGTGTTAGCTAACACTTCTAAATACTTTCTTTGCATTTCTGGATTTTGGCCTCTGTTTTCTGGCCCCTTGTTCAAACTTGCGGGAAGCCCGTGAGCGAGTCTTTACAAGGCAGGCAGTCGTGGTTTTTACAACCTGCTTGCTCTTCCGTTGCGCCGGTTTGCGCCCACGCCTAGGGTGTGTTATAATCTTTTTTAAGTCCTTACAGATGGTATCATACCTATTCTCAGGATCGTCATCATCATCATCTTCCTCCTCCTCCATTGGAACAGCCCTTGATTTAGTCTCTCCCTCATCTCCTGGGGGAGGAAGGGGAAACAAAAAACCAGAAAACATGATCACTTAATACATGTAAAATCAGCAATAAACAACACAGCACACAAACTATTGTCTCTATCAAGAATCCCCATACAAAAATAGCTTGGTAATACCACCACTTTTCTACTAGCAAACCAAAAAGCCAGTTAACTAGCTTGACATATAAAAATAAATATTTTTATTAGTAAAAGTATCTAGTTTTTCAAGCAGCACTTTTATCCACGTTATGCTTGCTACTACACACAACTTGCAATTCTTTCCTTGTTACATACTGTGAAATTTGGTTTTTTTTACACCAAAACATACAGAGACTGAATACTCCACTCAGGATTCAGAAATTAGGTTTCCCAAGAAGTTATTAGCTCCATTTCAGAAGCTCCACTACTGAATTTGTGTAAATTGAAAAGGCGGCCCAAACAAATATATTACAGAATCACTTACCAAACTTATGAGCTACCTTGCTGCCATTAGGAAGTACTCAGGAACAGTAACCCTTGCCTATTTTTGCTTTCAGAGTATCAAATACAACGCATGTACATCTGTTGTGTATGTGTGAAGACTTACGTTTTGAAAATTACACGTGCTATCCTTACCGCAAATATCAAAACTCAGCTGCACTACATGGATACTGTCTCATACAGAAAGCACATCAAAACCAACAGCATAGGACACGTAGTAGCGAAAGAATAGCACAGTATGATACCTGCCTTTAAGCTCCTCTGCACTCTCCTGGCTAAACTGAGAGGAATTCAGATTATTTCTAGCACACTCCCAGGCCTTTCCCCTTTCTTTTATTAGTTCTTCTGACTCGCATATAAGTAAGTCAAATCTTCCAGTTAGTAAAATTAAGCTTAGGAAAAGAGACCTCAAAATCCTAATGAACTGAGATCCCCTCACTAATAATTTCTACTGTTTATTTTCTGCCTGTGGGGAGTGGCCTAAAACTAGGCTGCGAGCTCCAAGTTGTTTTAATGCACACTTGTCCTGGAATTACCACCAGCCAGATGTCTGACAGGATTGCGATCACAGAAAGTCCGTCACTCCTGGGCTTAGAGAAATGGAAGTATCCTGTTGGTTAAACCAGATTCTAAGTCTCATTCAATGATCTACCTACATAGCTTGTTCAGACACAGAAAAGACTCCTTTATTTATTTACCTACTAAGCCAAAAGCAAACTGAAGAGAAAGGGCAAGTTTGCCTCCTCTTAATATAATATAACAAAGGCAGATTCTCATAGAATCACACAATAACTGATGTTGGAAGAGACCTCTGCACATAATCTACTCCAACTCCATCCCCAAAGCAGAGTTAACTCCAAAGTGAGGTCAGTTTTCTCAGGGCCTTGGCCAGTCAAGTTTTGAGTATCGCCAAGGAGAGATTCCAAAATTCGACAGGGCAACCAGTTTCAGGTTTTGACCATCCTCAATGTAAAGAATCTTTTCCTAGTATCTAATCAGAGTTCTCCTTGCCAAAACTTGTATCCACAGCCTCTCATCCTTTCGTCATGCATCTGGCTCAGCCTTCTCTATAACTACCCATCAGATGATTAGACAACAGCAATTAAGACTCTCCATTTTTAGCATTCTCTCTCCAGGCTAAACTAACTCACTTCTCTCTCAGCCTAACTCTACTGTAAATCATCCCATATCACCACCTCATTTTTCCAATTTGTACACTGTTATCCGTCTCTCCCATCCAATAATTATCCAATCTTTCCACTTGTGACTTGCAAATAAAACAATCACTCCCACTGCTTCAGACACCTTCTGATATATTAAAACCAACTTTTTCCTCCTAGGCCATTTCAATACCAAGTCTATGAACATACACTGTACATGAGCAATTTTATTTTTAAAGTATTTTTCTTTGATGGTCCAGTGATGCTAAGAACTGTAGCATATGGGTTACTGTCACTGAGCACCATCAATTCTCTGTCTATGGGGAGTGTTTTAACAGAAGTGGCAGCTATCACACACTAGTTCATTACTATGCAAACCATTCATTATTTGCAATCTCCCCCAGCAGTGGCATCTGGGGAAAACATTGTTTTGCCAGCCACCAACGAAAAGCCCTAAAAGTCCCAGTACTACATGCACAGAGACGCAACTAAACTTACTTCATCAGAGGACCTTGAAAAACAAACATTACAGGGCTGTATAATATGCAGAATAAGAAACTTACTTCCCAACTGTTACTCTACAATGATGCAAAACACCATTAATCAAACTGCTTTCTTACGGGGCTCTAAATCCAAAGCAGCATAGTACCTGTGAAAAGCAACCTTCGCATCTGCAAAGATTAACAACTCTCCAGAAACTAAACTGCAGGAAAACTCAAGGAAGAAATGAGTCAGCATCAAGTTGGTAGGAAAAAAGAGGAACATTATGTTTAATTTAAAATCTGGGTGTCTTGTTTGTTTGGGGGAGGGAGGTTGGTTTTGATTTATTTGTTTTTAAGAAACTACAAATAACAATCATCTCATTTTGCATTTAGTGTCTGCCTACAAGGGCTTTTCAGGAAAGCCAAAATGCAACTATGTCCCTTTGCTATCTTCATAAACATATCGCTGTTTTATTCACTGTTTTGTTTAGTTGCAGCTTTGCAAACCCCTTGCATCTGAGCCAGTGACAGTAAAGTCATGTACAGAAATTCTATGAAACATCATTAGAAGCAAACAAATAGGAAACAATTTACCTGTCACAATAACTAAAATAGCAAATAGATTTCTTTTTTTCTAGTTGAAAATTCATTTATTAAAAACGTGTACTGTCCATGTAATGTGAAGACTACCCCTACTTTTTAAGTTCTTTAAAACCAAGTGTTCAAATTCATCAGTTCTGAATTTCTTTCTAATTTCCTAAAGATAGAAGACACTGATGAAATAGTTCTATCTTGGCAAGAAAAAGAATTATTAGTATTAAACCTGCTATGAAAACAGTAAGTGATGACAGATTTCTGTTAACTGACACCAGCTGCTCTAAGGCTACATGGGTCTTGTGGGGCACAAAGATTATCTACTTGATTTTTAAAATGTATATACTACAATGCCACAAGTCTTCAGAGTCATCTCTAGTGCATAACCATGAGCTGACAAATTGGAGTTCACTAGATACCTACTGCTAAACAGTACCTGGGCAGCCAAAGAGAGGAACAGGCTTTGAAAGCTGCACTGCAAGGAAATACCTGCTGGAATTACAGACTATAGCTTCTCAAGCCCTTCCATTTACAGTGACATCCTTTTTTCCACAAGTGACAAGTTGCACAAATTGAAGTGGATGCTTCCAAATCAGTATTGGAAAACCTAACTGGCGGCAAACATTTAGATGTATAATTACCTACTTACGAATATTTTCACTTCTAGATTATTAAATGTTACCTAAATCTTACAAATTTCCTCTGTTAGTATATTAATAATACGTGTAGATGAACATCTTTTGCACACCTGATGACTGACAAAATCCTGTACCAGCAGACAGCATTAAGTTTTCAGTCACTGGCATAATTTTCTGCTCATCACTGCTTCCTTCACCTGTTGAATTCTGTTCATCATTTTCTTCCTTATCAGACGAGGAAGACGAAGTGACAACCACCTTCTTTTTTGACACTTTCTTTTTTAAGTTACTCTTTTTACTTTCTTTCATTGACCCTCTTTTAATCTTTTTCTTACTGTCTTCATAAGACTCCTCATCAGAAGAGGACAATGAGTCATTCTGTTCTTTCTTGGAAATTTTCTTTTTGTGACTTATTTTTTTCTTTTCTTTAGTTTCAGTTTGTTTTTTACTCCGCACAGCATCTTCAGAAGAACTCTCCTCTTTCAGGGGAGATTTCTCAGCATCAGAGGATAAATCAATCTGTACTCTTTTGGATACTCTCTCTCTTAAATTCCTCCTTTTCTTTTCTTTAAACACTGGTTCATTTTTAGTTTTGTCATTTTCAGAAGAATTGCAACTTCCTTTCTCTGGACATGACTTTTCAACATCTGAAGAGGAATCATCTTGTTCTTTCTTGTAACTTTTCTTTTTCAGTTTTTCAGATTTCTTCGCTTTGCTTTCTGATCCCTTTTTATTCTTGGATCTGTCTTTTGAAGAATCAAAATCCTGCTCCTTCTTTGCAGATTTCTCAGTACTCTCTGAAGAAGAATCTTCCTGTGCCTTTTTCTTTTTCAAATCCTTGCTCTTCTTAACTTCAGTTAGCTTTACACCTTTAGGACAACTCTCCTCTTTCTCCAGTGAAGACTTCTCAACATCAGAAGACTCATCGTGCTTTCCCTTTACAGTTTTTTCTTTTAAGTCTCTGTTTATCCTTTCCTTAGCAGCTGACCCCTTACCAATTTTATCTTGAGAAGAATGATTAATCTCCTTCTCTGGGGAAGACTTTTCAGCATCACCATCTTCAGAAGATTTCTCTCTCTGTTTCTTCAAATTTATCTTTCTCTTACTATTTACTTTTTTCCTCTGTTCTTCTTCAGAGGAATCATAACTATCTTCTTTTCGTGAGTATTTTTTCTTAGCTTTTTTTGCAGACTCAATTTTACTCAAAATTTTTATTTCTTTTTCTAACTCAGAATCATAGTTTGAAGAATCTGAATAGTTTTGTCGTTTCTTTTTAGCAGCAGCGGAATTTTTAGCTGATTTGCCTCTTTTAGCATCTAAATCTGAACCAGAACTGGAACTTTTTCTTTTTCGTTTTCCGTTTTCATCCTTTACTGGTTGATTCTTTAGAAAATTTAAAGTCTTCTGATCATTTGTTGGTGCTTCACTATTGCTCTCAATATCTGAAGAACTGTGACTCATCATAGCTACTTCTTTAAGAACAGCTGGCATCTCATCAGAATCTGAGCTATGATCTAATACATATGGCTTTTTTGATTTAGAAAGTTTATTAGGGCTAGGACCATCAACAGTACTGTCAGAAGAATTTCTTTTATCATTTTTCCTCCTTGGTTGTTTTGATGATTTTCTCTTACGTTTTTCATTACAAGTGTCATTGCTATCTTCTTCTGAATTTGATGTTAAAGGATTGACGTCTGTTTGGCGCCTCAGAGGTGTGGTCTTCACACGCGGTGATCTCCTGAGATCAGATTCCTCTACAAGTGAGACAGTTTCGTTCTCTGTGGAAGGTTCACTGCCAGCATTATGATTTTGTTTTACAGAATCAGAGTTTTCTGCTCTAGGTATTACATCAACATCCTTACTTCCCTTTTCTAGATTGCTGTCTTGATCTTCAGCTTTAACTGTAGACTCTGAAAGAGAAACAGGAGTCAATTTTACAATCAATTCTTTTGTTCCTTTAGCCGATGATTTTAACTTAGTACCACCTTTGGTATCTTTCATAGGAGTGTTCAATTTTATATTTGAATTTAGAGTCTCATGATCTGTTCCTGTATTTCCATTGTCTTGCTCATCTGATGTAACCTGAATCTCCATAGCAGATTCTAGAGTCTCAAAAATATCTTCAGGAACAGATGAGGGAATGGACACTATATCCATGTCTAAAGCCTCTGTACTATTAGGTTCATACTGAGGTTCTTCATTTCTGCCAGACCTTTTATCTTCACCAGAAGTACGCTTGTTATCTGTTTGTTCCGTTGTCGGAACACTTTGATCCATGGGCTCACTGTCAGGCCGTTCCGATACAACTTTTTTCTGTGTCTTTACAGTGTCATCCTCTTTTAATGCCACATGTTCCTTTCCTTCATCTTTTTTCACCTCATTTTTTTCTGATCTAACATCAGGTTTTTTCTCTTTGGTATTTTTATCTTTGATTTTGACATTCAAAGCTTGTATCTCCAGGTTCAGGCCTTCTTCTAGTGCCAGATGAGCTTTTTTCATGTCACTCAACACAGATTTAAAAGCTTTTAGCTGACAAAGTTGCACAGTTGGGCTTACTTCTACATTTTCTGCAGCATTTTTCAAAAAGCTTACAAAGCTAGAATTCAGATTTGCTGTAGTTTCAACCAGCTTTTTTGTTTTCTTAAGCAAGTCTTTTGGCACCATCAGTGCTTTATAAGAATATGTTAGTGAACCTGAATATGAATCATCTAGTTTTTTTTCTTCACCATTACAATTTGAATTATTTCTCTTTGGAGAAAACTTGACTGTATGGTCATAGATTTTACTTTTTTCACTTTCAACTCTGATCTTTTTTTTGTTTTGTTGCAGTAACTGTTCTAAATTTTCAAAGACACTGTCACATGCAGTGACCAAGTCCAACAAAGGCTCTGGATGGCAAATATAGCAGTGCCACTGATTATTTTCATCCAGTATAGTCGATAGCTCCTTTCGACCCAGGTTGCGCAAAATGCACTTTTTACAGAAGGCGTTATGGCAGAAGTCACAGCAAATCAAATTTCCACCTTCAGCACACCACCTGAAATGAGACATAAGAAATGTAAGAGTCTTATCTCCGTATCAACAAGGTGACAAATTTGAGAAGTTTAGATATTTTTTACTATTTGATAAAGAATTTGCATTTTAAAAACTCAGGTGATAAACAGACATCCATTAATTGAAAGTATTATTAAAAGCATGACTGAAAAGCACTCAGTTGAGAATTGGGAAGTCAAAAATTAAGGTATTAAATTAACAGTTCACCAAGCTGAAATAGTCAGTAATATCCAAACACAATTTCAGCACCGATTTTAAATAAGAGAAAAAATTAATTCAATTTTATTTTCCATGTTTCTTCTGAGATTTAAAAAAAAAAGTGTTCTTTTGTTTTACAGCAAAACGAATTAGCTTAAGTCTTTCTAGCCTTAACTGGTATATTACTACTGCAGGCACATATGAAAAAAAAAAAAAAAAGTTGTTTGATCTATGTCTAGATTGCATAGTCTTTGACGAAGACCTGAAAAGTGGCTGACACGTAAGCTGATAGGCCTCACAGACCACACAATTTTGACTGGATTACACATTTAGCTATTTGACATATGGACAGAGAACTACTTTAGTATTTCAAAAGTGGGAGATGCATTGGGAAAAGTAAGTTTCTGTGGCTCACAAGGTTTAGAATGTCAGATTCTATCCCCACCTTTAAAGTATTTGTAAAGTGGCATGCTATTTAGTTAAAAATATGATGTCTTACAAGTGTTTGCTATTAGATTTCTTTAAAAAATGTTTTCCTGTTAATTACTAACGTAACTATCAAATATTTACAAAAACCCTGGGGTTGAGCATTTCTTGGTGAGAAATAATTGTTGATTAAGCTCTTATGTACTGGTCTGTAACTGTCAGTAATTTCCTTATTGCAAGAAAACAAAACAAAATTGAAGAGCTGTGGGTGATATTTCAGGTTTTGTACACTTACCTACACTGTTCATCCATTCCATCTGAATCACGGCTAATGTCATCGCTCATGTAATACTTGTAGCAAGTCTGTAAAGAGATAGGACAAGGAATTTTTTATTAAATCTCAACTGGACTTCAGTACTTCATATGATTTCAGCATGTACTAGAAGCAAGCCATTAAAAGCAATAGCTGCAGGGTTTTCAGCATTCTAACCCTTTTACATTTGTGTTAATCTAAAAAACATCTTCCATAGATCCAACAGGTCCTAAACCATGACTTCTTATTTAGATGGCTCAAGGTTTATTTGAAAATCAAATAGGCTTTTGTCTGATGGCTGTGTATTTGCATATTTTAGAGCATCAACTGAATGTTTCTCTTCAAATCTGTACGGTTTTCCCACCCATTTCCTAGGTAAATCAACACCACATCTTCCCTACATAATTAATCCTACATAATTTTCAGCTGTGTGCTCCTTATGTTACCAATCAATCCCATAAGGCTTTAAACAAAAAGGTCTTAGTATTTATCCTGATCTTAACATCCAAAGCTTCAATTTCCAGGTGCAAACTATGTATTTTCATTGAACAATTTGTAACAGTAAGAAAAAAATACACACAATTCAGCTAGTAGTATCAGTGGCTTCAGTTGCTGAATTCTTTAAACCAAATTTTGAAGGTGTGGTTTTTTTATCCCAGTTGCTAGTAAAGAAAGTTCTCCCAGACTTGAAGCTCTACTTTAAATAGGGATTAATACAAGCTATTACCTAAATTCTGTCCTTTTACCCAGTGAATCAGTGAATTCAGAATCCAGAAGAGGCTTCAGCGGCTGAATTTAAAATGATGATGCCCCTTTATCTGGAACAGAGTTATACACCTGTTCAACTAAACTAAACTAAACAAACAAACAAAAAACTAAAAAAAAAAACAGTAAAAGCCGATGAGGCCATGTTCAATTAAGTAAAGATACAGAAAATTTATGGGAAACAACACGTGATATAATTATCTAGCAGAGCTCACAGTCAAGAGCTGCTTTTGAAGCCAACACCCTAAAGTTTCAAAAATGAACCAGGTAACTTGCATGCATCGCAAGAACATGTACAGCTACATGTTGAGGATTTTCAAGTCTAGGAACAAGAGTTAGGATTCCAATGAAGATTGAAAACAGTCGTCTTGAAGCTGATTGTTCTAAAACATATTTTATAAAAGAAACAAGCCAGAATGAATAGAAGAAATGAGCCAGAACATTAAACTAGATGGACATGCCTGAGATATTATGTCAGCTGAATATGTAACATTAATTGGGAATTGGGGGAGAAGCAGAAGGAGGGAAGAGAAGGGGAACACTAAATGTGCTTTGTAACACAGATCTGTATCTCTCTGTCTTTAGAGATATCTTTATGAATACAGAATCTCTACAACTAGAGAGATATGCAAGAGAGATATCGCTGTATCTCTCTGAAAAGTAAAAGGTCTCCAAAACAGGAGGTAGGGATGTTTCCTTCCTGCCCTGTTCCCCACCTCCTCCCATTGAAGGCAACTTAGGGCCTAACTGAAGCCACCATGAAACCATGCAGCTGAAGGCCCAGATGCTGGGTTTGGGTTATGGACTAGACCATGATTACAGAGGCTGCCATAAATTAAAACAGTCCAGGAGCTGTACACAAGTGAAACTGAGATGATGGCTTTGAAGCTATTTTTCCGCTTCTTATTCCGATGTTGTTTTACATACAATGCTTTACCAGGAGATCCAGAATTGAATCTGCTCTTATAATACATTATGAGTAGGCAGAAATTTCAGACAGATCATTTAACATAAAAAATTCACTAAATTATAGCCTTAAAGCTGTAAAAATAAATTAGAAAGAAACCACAATGAGTTTAACTGGGGTATAAGAAAACAGGAATATAAACTTGTAAGCTGTATTTGCCTTTTTGTTTTCTGCTTTTAGTTTCCTTAATTGTAACAGTTAATGACTGAAAAGTTTATTGGCTAATAAACAACTAACTCCCACAAAAATCCCACCCAAATCAACTGATATGACATTTCAAACAAAAACAAACAGTACAAACTGTAGAACTGTTTACCACATACCTTACAAATAAGAACTTTCAGTGTAGGATGTCTATAGATTGAATCCTTTTGAAAATGGTTCACCTGTTGCCCACAAGCTGTACAGCTTACAATTCCATGTAGTCCTTCCTCTATAGAGAGGATTATAAACCACACATTAATTGTTTTCATTTTTTTTTTTTAAAGAAATCTGTATATACCTATTTCATTTTCTTACAATATTTTGGCCTGTTAGGTTTTTCATATGCCTTTATTACTTTACCAGCCAGTATTAGAGAAATCTTTCTGTAACCACTCGCCATTTAAAGACTGAAAGAATTTTCCTCTAATTTCTATACTCCACTTGGGGCCAAGATACAATTTTTTTTCCTTTGAGAGATTTAATTTGGATTAACTGGTCACCTCAAGAGAACACACCTAAATAAGAGTCATCACTAAAACTCTTTCAAAGCAGCCCTGATATTCTGTACAACCTTCCTCATTTAATCTTTGTTGATAAAATACCATTTTAATTCATGTTTGTATTATGGTATTTCTTTCACATACAGTTTTAGTTTCTCAAAGAAAAACATGGGAAACCGTTACAGAAGATGCATGAAATCCTTATAATAGTGCCTGGAAAATCTTTTCTCACTTTTTGTTCCCTTCTTGACGGTGGGTTTTTTTGGGTTTCTTTTGAAACTACAATTTTGCTATAACACATGTGTTCTCCCCACCTTGCTGATTGCTCCCACAGTTTGCATACTACTCTGCTGCTGTATCTACATTCAGTTAAGAAAGTTTCTTTAATGTCAATCCCCCAATTCACTTTGAAAGGTGGTGACCTTGGGGCTGGGAGGCTCACTACATGCCAGGCTGTTAAACCAACTAATTAATGCTGAGACCATTTTGTTTTCAACAGCAGTGATGCTTTCAAGAAAAAGGAAAATCCTTTGTGAAAGCTCATACACTCAGTTCATACACTGTCTTAACTGGGATCAAGCAGAGAGAGGTTTGATGTGGGATCACTTAACTGTGATTTGTCCTTTGCTGTCATGTTCAGTAAGTAGTATAAGGAAATTAACTCAAATGGTTAACTTAATGGTTACAGTCTGAGTACAGACTATATATAATTTTTTTTTTTTTTTTTAAAATAATCACTACCACTAACACCACCACAATGTTAAGGAACTGAATGAACATTCTCAAGATACAATACAAGCTACAAGCAATTTGCTATTGAAGCACAATCTCAGATGGCTTACAGGCCAGTAAGAACAACTAACACACCCTTACAATTCAGTGAAAATAGCAGGTCTGAAATTCTGAATACAAGATTTGTTGTTTTCAAATTCAATGCATGCATGACTGCATGTACTGCAGAGCTCATGGACTTGAAAAGCACCTCTTATGACCTCAAAAACAGCTCAAACGCCTGTTTCAAACGCTGCTGGTAAACCTCAAATAAATACATCCATCGTATCGTACTACCTGGAAAAGAATACCACATTCTATTATACCAAGCAGCACAGAAACCTACCCAGGCTTTGTCAAACATCACAGTCCTTAAATAGGTGTAAGAATCACACAGGGAGAACAAGCTATTCACTGTCAAGTCCCAAGTCACGTCCCCCTTTTCTACAACTTTAAGGGGAACCGCTACTGCCTCCTTCCTAAAATCTGCAAGTTGGCACCAGAAAAAAGAGAGGATAATTTATGAGGCAAACCTTTGTAAACCATGTTACTACCACAAATGATGATGATCCAAAGAAATTAAACAACTACTAATTCATTAATTCTGAGAAAATACTTACTTAAAAAACATTCCTAACTATGAGTTTATTAGCAAAAATACAACCATAACCATTCTGCAGACAAAACTTGAAAATAAGGACTGACACAATGCCTCTTACAGTCTTGGATAAGAGCATTTGGATGCTAGAAAGGCAAGAGTTCTATTACCATTACTATTTCTAATATAAACAGGACATACAAATCCTAATAAAAATGCAAAGATGCACTCCACAAAGAACAAGATGGACTGGCATTTTTTATTTTATAGTTATTATTTATTTACTTGCACCGTGCATAGAATTCAGGATCTCAAGTAGGTGGGACTACACGCTTACCTGCTTAAACCAGTAATGCTTAACTTTGTATATACACAGGCTAGGCACCTCATTCTAGTAGCAAGAGAAAGGTAAGTGCCACTTCATGCAACTAGATTTGCTGCATGCAGGTGTAGAGTATTTACTGCACTACCTCTTCCGTGCATGTCACAAAATAAAACTGTTTTGATACATTGCTAATTCAGCTGCTCTTGAGGTAGACTGCTGTCATGTCCCTTGCCTAGTCTGGAAATGGGGACAACACAGGAGCAGGCAGTACCTATTCCTTTTCCCTGAAAGTTGACAGGAGCTTAACACACGTACTGAATAGCTTTAAAACCAAGTCCAAGATTATCAGTAGTGACACAGATACAGCTGAGCTTGCCCTGAATAAAGGTACGGCTTAAACAAACTCTTGATGTCCCTTCCAAAACAATTATCTTGTACACCAGTACATGAATAACCAGTCCAGATAGACAAATACTCTAGGGATGGAGAAAAAAAGCTGGAATGGCAGGTCATATGAATTGTCCTGGGGATGCAGACACAGGCCACAAAGCTCAAACAGAAGAGGCCTATCTTTTCAACACCCTACCCCGAAGACTTAAGTTGGACCTCTTGCAAAATTGTTATAAACACAGATGGAAAAAGCATTCCTATATGCTGAATAGGACATCTTGCATGAACAGAACGGAACTAACTTTCAAAGATTAATAATTTAGAGAAAACGTCAATGCTCAAAATGTGATTAAAATCATGCATGAGCCCATATAGTATGCACAAGCACATTTCCACAGTCACATTTCACTCCTCTTCAACCACAGATGGAGAAACAGCACTTATTAAATTGTAATAACACTTTAAAAGAGAGCAAGTATCTCAAATGATACAATGGGAAGAATGAACAGTGCGTACAAGAGCTGTTTGTCTGAATATCCTGGATACTGCTGTAGGTATGTGAACTAAGATATCGCTAGCAGTATTAATGAAATTATCTGCCTTCTTATTGGCTACTTTATACATAATCCTCCCTCTCTCCTTTACTTTTTGGAAAAAAAAGAGAGAGATTAATTTCTGTTATCACTGTTATCTACCTAACTTCTCCTCAGTTTTAGCAGCAGCTATGGAAAACCAGCTGGCACAGCAGCTTTTCAAAGATAATCCTCAGAAGGGCCCACTGGTAGGGTATTTCCCACAATTTAAAAACCAAACAAAAAAGTCTTTGAATTGTTGGAGGTTTTAGGTTTCTTGTTAGCTCACTGATTGATAATATGCCTATAGATGCTCCTGCTCAAATATGGTTGCTTTCTTGGTGAGTCAGCGAATGTTCCCATATCAATGGTGTTCCAATATAATTCCTTAAAAAAGGAATACCTGTAACACCTGATCGCAACCAAGCAACTGTTCTGAATACAAAGCTAGAAGGGTCCATACGGGGTACCCAATAATGCATCCTATAGCTACTGAAAATAGGAAGTTTAATGAGAACTAATCTTAGCTTTCACTGCTGCATTGCAGGGGCAGCAATGGAGGCTAATTTCAGCCAGGTAGAATCCTTAATGAACAAAAAGCCAGAAGAGTGGAGGTATTTTTAGGATAATTTATTAGAAATACGAACAATTTTTAAATGTACCAAATGTGGTCATAAGCAGCAATTTAAACCCGTTTTAATAAATGTTTTAAATTGTATTTACCTCCACGCTTTTTGGGAGCTTCAGGTTTCATTTTAACGGCATTTCTGCTTCTAAATTCAGGCCCTTTAAAATCATCTTTGTCTTCATTCAGCACTGGCTCAGGCTGTACAACCACTGTACCTAGAATAATTTTATTTAGAAATTGGAAACCATTACACAACCAAATGAAGTGCAAAAGTCCTGTTTAAATAAAAGCCAACACAGTACCTTAAAAAAAAAAAAGTGCAATCTGTTGACTAAAACTCAACAAAGTTTTGAATGCACAGATGTTCACAGGGGGGAAAAAAAAAAAAGAAACCAAAAAATCCACCACACACTTCAAACTACATCTGTTTTGCAGTTGTAGGACAAAAGCCAAAGACTGAATAGGCTACGAAGAGCAAATTCTGCTCTCTCTGCCCTGATGTGGTACGTGCAGAACAGGACTGTCATACTGATGGGTGTGTGTAGTACAGGAATTTGCAGTGCATGCTACAAATAAAGGACTTCAGTTAGGTCACTTAAACCTATCAAAAGCCTTAGAGTAACTACTCTTTTCTCTTCCTTTTCCCCCTTCTATCCAGTTTCGCTCATCTTAATTTATTTCAGCACAAAATAAATGAAAAAGCAATAGAATAAAACCTGTTTTGTCGTTAATAAAATTCAGAAATTCACCTTTTTATTTAAACAGAGAAGAGTATTAATCAAAATTATGTGAATGAAAAACCATCTTTCCTACTTAAGAGCTCAGTTTTAATACTTTCGTTGTGAGGACACTGGAAATAAGCTAACATTCTGAAAAAATAGTCAATTTTAAAGTGACTCCTTTAAATACTGCTACTTATGCAGTAAACAGTAGCAATTTTTCCTGTAACTTTCATAGGTAAGAAATAGAAGAGATTAATCACACTCACACTATAGTTAAGAAGAGCGGGATGTAGGCTTATAGTATTAACTGTTTTAAAAGGGTGCTTAAAAAGAGATCCAATAATGACATTTCCTCCCCAGATTTAGTTTTGCTTTTGTTGATCTAATCGGTAATAACCTCAAAGACAGAACAGTAAAATAAATAAGACTTGCAAGTGACAGAGTTTGAGACTTCTACAAAAGAACAGAAATAAATTATTTCCCCTGTTTCATGTTGGTTTTATACAGATGTCAGTAGACATTTGAAATTAAACCACCAGCACATCCTGGTGTGCACACAGATTAAAGTATGCTGGGTTCAAAACTAAAGGTGCTTCGTTTCCTCCTTTAAATGCACATGCACAGGGTGTGTGTGTTTGTGCACGAGCATCTATGTTTATATATAAAAGCCAACAGGACCTAAGACCAGCATTTTACTAGTACATGTGCATTCTAGTTAACTATTTATGCTGCATCATAATCTTGGCTAACTTGCTGAATTCAGAAACAAAGAAAGACATGAACTACCTTTAGGCAAGCTTTTCATATCAACATCGTTTTCTGAGTTTTCATTTGAAATATCTTCATTTACAGTTTCATCTAAGATTTGTTCATCATCTGATCCAACATATTTTGTTACAATTGTAGGTTTCCTGCATAGACAGAAAAAAACCCACACCGTGACAAATATTACATATTGCAATACAGGTAAGCCTGGCGCTTTGCAAGCAAAACACCATACTAATTTGGGAAACCTATCTTCTTTTTAAATTCATTTAAAAAGGTGGGATGCTCTGAGTTAATAATAATAAGTAAGTTGTATTTTTCTTTGTTAGGAAAAGGAGTTCTCCCCTCCTACGTGAAATAAAAAGATATACTAATAAAATATTTTTGTTTCGCAGGCTTGCTGTATTTTTTTTTGTAAAATCAAGGTTTGATGTGTTTTTAAGAAGGTATGCAGGAAAGTCACACTTTTAGGAAAAAAGCCTGAATGAAACACAAGTGAATGTCTGCTCAGAAATTTTACACATCATTCCAAGTTTAACAGGCAGCGCAAAGAGAACACACAGATATTAGCAAATAACAAAAAGCAGCTTGGCAGAAAAGATGCTTGCAAGGAAATAAAAGAAATGCAGAAAGAAATGAAAAAGCTAACTGTTGAATAAAAAGACCAGTTGCCAGAATTTCACACAAATCTAATTTAGAACTGAATCCATTAAAATGCATGAATTTACTATGTCAGGGCAGGGAGAAAAAAAGAAGGGGAAAAAAAAAAAAGAAAAAAAAAAAACACGAACAACGTTAAGCCTGATTTTCAGTCTGAAGGTAATAGATGAACTACTGCAGGATGTTGTTTTTGTCAGTATCAGGCACAGTATGATAAATACCTTTAGTGATAGACTAGTGATAGACAGGAAGCAAAAAACCAAGACTGTAAAAATGATATAAATGAAAATTTTTGCAGGACACTAGTTTCAGAAGATGAGGGAGAAATTAAAGCCAAATATAAACCCATGCTTGCAAATATGGAATCAAGACAAACAGAAAAGGGAGAATGAAGAATATTATTTAATTCCAGCAGACATGATAAAATAAACAAGCTTGGATAAAAAGGAGAGTGAAAAGAGATATACAACACTTTTAAAGAGCAGTTAAGAAGGCAGCTGTTGAAATCGTGCACTTAGAAGAGCTCACCTATCTACACAGTATACTAGGATTTTAAAAAAACCATGAAGGACATAACTTGAATAAGCATCAGCTGAGAGCAAAAGATGAGAAGGAGTTCTACTAGAGTAAGTCTGCTCTTACTTAGGTCACAAATAATTTCTCTCCTGTAGGTTCAAACTGCTTGGCAAACGATTAACTCCATACTTTTTTAAATCAAAGAGCAAAAAAGGATTAAGTAGAGATACAGCAAGTAGCAGTTTCTGCACAGGACAACTTAATAGCACATTTTGATTCTACAAGTCTCCCAAAGTAAGGTACATAAAGCCTTTTTTCCGTATGACCCAATTTGTATTTTTGGAAGAATCCTGCATGTAGAAATAGCGAGAGTGAAGGAACAATTGTATAAACACCTCTGTCCCGAAGATACAGAATAATCTTGTTGTCTTTGATTAAAAAAAAAAAAAAAAAAAAAATCAAGCTTTATGATCTTAACCTTTGCCCTGAAAGATAAGTTTGCATTTTCAATGCACTATGAGGCATTTGGTTTACCAGCACTCTGCTAACTTAATGGATTTATACTGGTGTACACTAGAAGTATCTGGCATAGTGCATGGTTCTACAGTTTCACATGCCAAAAAGTAATTTATTTATTTTTATTTTCCAAACCAACCTTTTTGAACGTGATGATCCTAAGGATTTGGTTCTTTCTGAAGAACTACTGCCCTAAAAACAAGGAAAAATTAAAAAGTCAACACATTTGTGACCAAACGACCTGTCAACAAACACAGTTTCTTATATTAACTAGAACACATCCCAGAAGTCACCAGCACTCTTACCAAAAAAAAAAAAAGGGCAGGAAAACCATTAACAAAAAGTGACACACAATTTCAATAGTCATGCCAGTTCAGTTAAACTAAATCTATGGGTTTCAGATCAGCCATTGTCCTTTTAAAAACAGATTTAAAAACAGGTGTCACCAAACTCTAAGCTAAGTCACTCACGCTCACTAACCTCCCTATGCATATATCTTAAAAGAAATTAAGAGAGGGCACTGTTATAAGTTGAGACATTCAGAGAGAAACACTGCACGTTATCTCAAGCACTGAGTCTCCATGAAATTGAGGAAATTCTCTCATTGCAACTCTCAACTTGCACTACCTGCTGAAAGTTCTCTCAGTTTTCTGGAGAAGGGACTGAGAGTGGCTGATGATCACTGGTCAGTCCTAATCATGACCAGTTCTGGGGCCTCCCGCTCTGTGTATCTTCACTGCAATGTTAACTTGCACGACTAGCACATGGAAGAATGGCCTAATTCACACATACCTACCCGCCTCCAAATGCTGTGCATTTTCACTTTTTTACAATTCACCGGGATTCCTCACAGCACTTAGCGCTGCAGTAGCTTATGCAGGTCTACAAATGTTTTTCACACTATGTGAAGAAAATACCATCTCTTCTGACATAGAGATATGGAGGGTTCTTGAAGGCTGGCATTAGGGAGCTATCATTAGTATGCACCCAAGAACTGCCAGCACAATGGAGACACTTGTTATGTGGCTCATATGCCAGAAAGGACTGGTTGTCTTTACAGGAAAACTGATTTTTCAGAGGTTTGTGCACGCATATCATAACTAGGTTTGGGCAGTATCAAATAAATACCTGAATTTACTGCAATAAAGGCAAACTAAGGCAGGACACTGGCATTGTGCTTTCTCTACGTATTAACATATTGTCAACTAGAATGTTTCTAACAGGAAGTAGATATTAGTAAGACATACCACATGAAAAATGTCTTTGATGTATATAACACACCATACAGAAGAAACTTGCTCATGTTTAACAAAGATCCTATATCTCCATCTTTTTTTCTTTTTTAAAAAAGGAAGCATATTTGCCTAAAAGGACAACTAAGTACCTACTGTTATCTGAGTAACAGGGTGTAAGTGTAAATACGAGGTAGAGACCGATTCTTTTAAAAAAAATAAGTAAGAGCCTGTTTACACATAAGTCAAAAAACAGAATAAGGATAAAAGAATATTAACCGAATTTCTTTAAAAAGAAAAACTCACTTTGCAATATACTCAATCTGAATCAATTACAACACTTCGCATTTCTTAACAAAAATGCAATGGCATACCTCAGGCAAGTAAAACCTAACTCTCTAAACTGTGTTAAGAGACATTTTTCCCAGGAATTATTGTGCATCAGAAAGACAATGAAGTTGTCCAACTAAATGCATGTATTTCAATAATTTAAAAGTAAAGAAGGGGTGGGGAGACAGGAAGGATTGCTTGCATATGCCTAAATGAAAGTGAGTATCATTCAAAATTTAAAATTTAATTTTAAATTTTAAAATATTTTACAGCTAAGGTTTCTATTCAGCTGATATGATCACATTTACTGCATGGTTCTGACAATATTCTTTAAGTATTTACTGTAAAAGCAACAAAGTGTACTCAGCATTTCCTATACTAGCCATTCTGCACTGATCAAGCAACTAAAATTCAAAAGCATTTTATTCCTACCTCTTCTCTATTGTTCTCCATTGAAGCTGGACTACTTTTAGGTTCTCTACTTTTACCTATGGAGAAAAATTAAAGGAATCCACTGAATTGCAAGAAATATTAAAAGTTCTTCACATTGTATGTTATAGCATTGTGTTCGTTTCACCAGCATGAATAAAGATGACTGTGTGACTTTCAGAGACAAACTGTTGCACAACAAAATACAGTCCACTGTATGGCATAAGTTTTACAGAAATCATTTAGAAATTACTTTCAGTTAAGTCGCTGATAAGCTGAAAGACAGCCTTCCCATTGGTGAAGAAATACTGAAGAAATGAAAGAAATACGCAGAAATAATATAGTTAGTGCATTTTTACATCTCTAAGAAGTTACTTTAAGTATTTTCTCTTACACATCTTGACATTAAAAACACAATATTAAATCTGGGATCATGGAACCACAGACAAAAATCCCATTTGATACAGGGTATGATAGAGAATTCCCATTTCTCCATCTTGGCAACTGTGGAATGCAACCTATTAGTACCTGTTCCATCCACCAGTCCACGTAATGGAAGGGAAAGTGTCAAGTTCAGTGATACTTGTATGAAGTTGCCCAAAAGGCTTCGTAATAGCGGTATTTTAATAGATGCACTACTGAGAAACATGCAACTAAAGTGGTAGTGTAATTACAGGATACATATCATGACCATTTGTGACTTCAACGTAAGACTGCTAGCACTACAACTTACTATATCCTTACACTTCAGTTTTGGGAAAAACAAACAATTTTCTTTTACACTTTAAAAAAACCATATCACTTTGATTAGAAAATTTAATGCTGGGTATTTGACCTAGGCTGAATTGTTTGGGTAAATTTCAGCCAAAATTATCCAGCCTCTTCTGCATGTGAACCGGGGGGGAGGGGGAGGGGGGAAAATAAAAAATGGAAACAGACAGTTTTTGGCCCTTTTAAGTACCTGAAATTTCTCCTCTGGAATATTACGTGCATTCTCCCATTCTGAGGAAAGAACTTGAAATTTGGAAGAAGGCCGACATTTTTCTGGAGACTAGATGCTGCCCACCTTCTACTCTTCACCAATTCTCCCCAAGTGATAAATCCACAGAAAATACCAGTTTGTATATGCTTGATAGACATTTCTTTGACTCTGGCAGCTACAACCTCTGTCGATTCTGCATTCGGACTGCTAACCAGACTGCACATGGGCTATTCCCAAAAGCATGTGAACATGCTCCATTGTCACTTTCTATGTGTGATTGGACTGTACATGTGTCATCCCCATAGAACGACCGAGCATGCTGCATCCCCTCACAGTTCCTAGCGCTGACCCAACTGCACATGCTCCATCCACTTCAGGGCTATGAGAGCACAGGATTTCCCCTGTGACTGCTGCTCCAGGGCAGGGGCTGGTCACTTGAAACAAGAGCAAGAAGTCAGTTTCTCCTACGCTCTCAGTGATTCTCCTGCTGGCACCCACACAATGTAGCGGAGGGAGACAGACATCCAATTCGAATGCAGAGAGGATAAAGAAACATTATTAAGGCTGTAAAATCAAGTACTCAAAAATTAAGAAAAGACAGAATGAAAGTTACCAGTGCAATTTCATTTCACTTATCATTCCTAGCACACAAGCATTGTGGCACAGTTCAGTTCCACAGCAGTGCACAAGATGGAAGTGCTCAACGAGCAACGGCTTCATATTTTAACTGACCTCTGTGTGTGGCAGGGACATGTTCTAACTCTCTCGAGCCACACTTAACCATCTTCATCATCATCTCTCTCCTCACAACACTCTACCTTGTAGTTCACATTTCCTCCAAATGCTGGAACAAAACGAGTTCCGTTACTATATAAACCTGATGTGGCCCTAATCATGTCTATCACTTGTATACTGAATGAGCATCCTGTGGATTTGGGGGGGGAGGGCAGCTGCTAAAGACACTATCATTATGCACAGAAAGTTGGGAGGGGAAGTAAATTTGCATAGTTAGTTCTGGCATTTCCTAATATTTAAGTGTTTAATTCTTGACTTTTCAACTTTACTGTGTTCTTTTTTAAGAAAAAAACATCAGAGATCTCAAAAACAACACTGAAACATGTCTGCTATTAATTAGTAAGTGTACCCATTTCAAAGTAAATCTGTATTTTAAGGCAAGGAGCCAAATTCTACTTCATAACTACACAGGACAAAGGGAAAAGATTTCTTTTTCCCAGTATGCTCCTCAGCATAATTTCACTTTGAGAAATTACTCACTTTAAGAAACTACACATCACAGTGTAGTTTGTTACTCTGCTGAAGTATCACATGAATAATTTCTTTTTCCAATGTTAACAGTTGAGTTTGATGCTGACACAAGGAGGTTAGCACCACATGGCAGCAGACTCTCTCTCAAGACAAAACATTAAAAGGTAGTAACTGCACACCAAAAAACCCACCTAAGTTTATTACTTAGGACAACAGGAGATCAAAAATAAACTCCATAACACAGCCAACACACTCTCATTCTCCTATACTCTATCACCTCAGCACAACTTCTAGCTCATTAAACAGTAGAGACTGAAAGGTTTTGCACCTGTATCCAGTCCTAGTTAAACTAAGAAACAGATTTAACCTAGTTACACTTGGAAAAAAATTTTATTGAGTACTGTTATGAAATAATTTCACTTTTTATGACTATAATCAAAACAAAGTGTTTAAAATTCATTACCTATCTCTAACTTTTAAGTAAAAATTTCTAACACCAAATTTGACCTAGTGTAGGACTCAAGGTTTTTCAAAAGTATTATTTTGTTTTCAGATGTTTCCAGATTACGTGTAGAAATCTTTTTCAAATAATTATGAAAGCATAATCTCCAGAACTTCTTTCACAACTACAAGGACTGCAAAAGCTTTACTTCAGCAGAAAAAACAAGATACCGAACTTACACATTCAAGAAAACTGAACAAGGAACCCCTACCACAACAAATACATGCATGTTTGCCATCTCATGTTTCATAGAAGGTAAATTACCCGCAGGACTAGCTTTTTTTCACATTTAGAAAAGATTCAGAACTGAAAGAAATATTGTATTAAAGGCCTATTGTATATTTATTAAGATATCACCACCTAAATCACATTAAGACTTTGCATAATTGCCCCAGTGAAGTGCGATATAGTGAAATAACAACACAAGTTCTTTGACTTTAGAATCATATATATATTGAAAATAAAAACAAAGTCTTTTTACCTATGGTTTTGTTTTTAGATAATGCTGGAGGAGAGACTGCGTCCTCAGATTCTTCCGATGAGTGAGCCAAGAAGTCATGAAGTTTCTGCACCAATGTATTCAACTTGCTTTCACTGTTAAAATACAAGTAAGACTTGAAGTTACCTATATATCTCACTCTAATTTAGCATGCTTAAAGGAAATTATGTTTAATCTCAATTAATACACATCTACAAAAGAAACTCAGTTATTGCTTAAACGTTTGTTTCTGCAAGAGAATATAAAAGTAAATAAAAACCATACAATTTTGTTAAACCCTGAGTAAAATAATAGGTGCAGCCTTATTGACGAAAAAGAACTATGGACTCTGTTAACAGTAATAATAAAAAGCCTATTTTAAATAGTTTTTACTCTTTACAATTATTTACAAAGTTCAAGAAAGTCTGAGTGGTAACGCTGCTATGACATGAAGATAGCGAAAAATTTTAAGATTCTACTTTGTCAGAAGCTGAACAGGTAAAAATAATAAAATCTTTATTTTATTACCAAAAATGTAACCTTTGGGGATATAAAACACTAGAAATAATAGCAAAATTTCACCTACAACCTTAGAAGCAAACAGGTCCATTGAGTATGACAGATCTACATGCTTATGCAAAGCTTATATTAAATCAGCCGTGTACATACACACTGTGTACCCTGTATTAATTTTGTTAAAAAAACCATGTAGAATCACATAATTTCTTGATCTGTTTGTATGAGCATTCATAATTAATTTATAAAAAATATTACCCTCGGAATTGTCACTAGGCAGTTTTAGACACCAGGAACTGTTACTCTTGTATAGATACTCATTACAGTAAAAAGGCAACACCTTTATCCTATGCTTTTGTTAAAAAGCTATACCACTTCATAATCTACAAGTTATTCCCTCTCATTTTACATTGTTTATTTCAGATTTTCTCCTCCCAAAGCTTCTACAATTTCCTGAGACAAGTGCCTTTTTCTAGCTGCAAGCACACTGACTGAGGCCAAGGGCAGTCACCCTTCCAGACTGTGTCGAAAGTTACCTGTATCAAAAGTTACCACTCTCACTGCTTCCCTCCTGGATGCTATTAGTCCTCTAAAATCTGCCAGCTGACATGTCTGAGTCATCATACCTTAGCTGCTACTAGACACGGGTTTTCAAACTGCTGAGCTACACTACACCCTTCATAAGTTAACCCAGTTAAAGGATACAGGCTTCCATCCTTTTCACTTTTTATGTCCCCATTAGTTTCAAAATAGTCTTCTGATAGCATGAAGTAGTAAGATTTTCTGTCCCTGTTTTACAGGCTGTAGGAACTTTTGAATATTTATCAGAAGCTCAATCCATTCACCTTTACCATCTCCACTATTTCTCTGAATACATCAATTTATTAACTTCTGACTTTCAATTTAACTGTTACTGCCAAAAAAAAAAAAATCACCTGTTTTATAAGAAGGACACGCAGGTGAGCATGCTCTTGAGCAATGAGTGAAAGGGTATCATCATATTAATGCAAATGACTATTTAAACCAGTGAAAATAACCACATATAAAACAGCATAAAACATCCATTTAAAAAAAAAAAATCCATAATTTCTTTAAATCTTCCGAAGTACTCAAAATAAAACAAAATAGCACTTTGTAATGGAAAGATTTTCTGCATGAGTAAAGGACACTTTTCTTTTGAGACTACATCCATACCATCACTTGA